AGTAAACATATGGTACTGGTGTTGTAGTGAACATATGGCAGTGGTGTTGTAGTGAACATATGGTACTGGTGTTGTAGTAAACATATGGTACTGGTGTTGTAGTGAACATATGGTACTGGTGTTGTAGTGAACATATGGCACTTGTGTTGTAGTGAACATATGGTACTGGTGTTGCAGTAAACATATGGTACTGGTGTTGTAGTAAACATATGGTACTGGTGATGTAGTGAACATATGGCACTTGTGTTGTAGTGATCATATGGTACTGGTGTTGTAGTAAACATATGGTACTGGTGTTGTAATAAACATATGGTACTGGTGTTGTAGTAAACATATGGTACTGGTGTTGCAATGAAACATATGGTACTAGTGTTATATTAAACATATATGGTACTGAGTGTAGTGAACATGTAATTGTGTTGTAGTAGACATATATGGTACTGGTATTTATAGTAAACATATAGGTACTGAGTGTTATGATACTAGTGTTATTGAACATATGCTTGTGTTGTAGTGAACATATAGTACTTATGTTGTAGTAAATATATAGTACTCGTGTTAAGTAAAGATATGGTTCACAATTATTTATAGTAAACATATATTTTTAGTATTACTAGTAAACATATGGTACTGGTGTTGTAGTGAACATATGGTACTGGTGTTGTAGTGAACATATGGCACTTGTGTTGTAGTGAACATATGTTACTTATGTTGTAGTGAATATATGGTACTCGTGTTGTAGTAAAGATATGGTTCTGGTGTTGTAGTAAACATATGGTACTGGTGTTGTAGTAAACATATGGTACTGGTGTTGTAGTAAACTTATGTTACTGGTGATGTAATTAAACATATGTCAAGTCGAACAACATTGAGCGGTTTTTACATTACGTGCATAAATAACCGGCTGGTAAATGATTCCAATGACCCATGAATCAGTCCTAACTGGCGGTGCCATTATCTACATATTACTTATCTAACTACCTAACATACTTGAACCATTGCAAGTGTGAAGCAAAGTATCCAATTACCACATATGAGCAATCTATTAAGTATTTCAAGAATTACCTACTACCTGGAGAGAGAGTTGCATCATACTTCGGCAACTGGATGAGACTAAACATCTGCGGATGTTTTGGTCCCTGAACAGCCTTTACCCCTCTTCGGGTCATTGAATAATTAATGTTCATAATTATACATCCATAGTTATAAGTTATTAATTACTTTTCTACATTAAGCAGTATATAAATTATGCTAGTTGCATGTGTGTGTGTGTGGGGGGGGGGGTGGGATGTGGGTAGTAAATAGATAGGAGCAGAAATACTACACTTATATATATATTTATATATAAGAAAAATATTAACCATTCCTGTCACATCGGGGTTTGCGAATAACCATTGGAGGATTCGTCTTCAATGTGGCGTTTGGCCTCCTCTACCCGCTATATGTCTGTACTGGTGATACTGACATGGTTTTTATTGGTGTTGAGTCCCAGCAACACTCCGTATTTTTGGCCTATTTGTTTAATATGGGCGCCCTTGTGACCTATGAATGCTCCGTGAAATTTTTTGGGTATTTTAACGCTCTTCGTAATTTGATTTTGGCTGGACTGCTGTTTCGCGACGGCTGGTGATTCCCGTTCCGCTGTGGCTGGTGACCCAGGTTCCGCTGCGGCTGGTGACTCCGGTTCCGCTGTGGCTGGGGGTAAATGGTGACCATTGGAGATTAAGTCTTCAATGTGGCGTTTGGCCTCCTCTACCCTTTATATGTCTGTGCTGGTGATACTGATATTTATTTTTATAGGTGTTGGTTTCAGCAACTGCTCCGTATTTTGGCCTGTTGTTTAATATAGAACACTTAGCGATAATGAATGTGCCGTGAAATTTTTTGGGTATTTTAACGCTCCTCGTGATTTGATTTTGGCTGGACTGCTGTTTCGCTACGGCTGGTGATTCCGGTTCCACTGTGGTTGGTGATTCCAGTTCCGCTGCGGCTGGTGATTTCGGTTCTGCTTCGGCTGGTGAATCTGGTTCCGCTGCGGCTGGTGACTCCGGTTCCGCTGCGTTTGGTGACTCTGGTTCCGCTGCGGCTGGTGACTCTGGTTCCGCTTCGGCTGGTGTCAGTTCGCTACGGCTGATGACTGCGGCTCCGCCGGCTGGTGGCTCGGTTCTGCATCAGTTGGTGATTCTGGTTCTGCTTCGGTTGGTGACTCTGGTTCTGCTGCGGCTGGTGACTCTGGTTCTGTTGCAGCTGGTGACTCCGGTTCCGCTGTGACTGGTGATTCCGGCTCCGCTTCGGCTGGTGACTCCGATTCTGCATCGGTTGGTGACTCTGGTTCTGCTGTGGCTAGTGACTCTAATTCCCCTAGGGTCGACTCAGCCTAGCCTGGGTTGTGGTCGTCCTCTCTAAAGCGACGACGGATTTTACAACATAAATACACACAAGTACAACAAACAATAAACACTAACAGTACCGTTCCTATGATAAATGACCCAGAGGTAAAACGTGGGACGTCGCTCTCGGAGGCCTTCTTCGGCGCCTCCGTCACCCTCTTCATCTCAATTTTGATTTTTCTAGCAAGTAAAATGTCGCCCAAAAGAGGCACGTGGTCGCATAAACCTGGTTTGGGCTTTTATAGGGTTGGGAGCTCACCTATCCCAGGGCTAATAAGTTTTAGTCCCCTTAAAATTCTGTAGTAGAGGCTCACTCTTTATTTTTGTTGTTGAATTTTAATTTCGTCTAGCCGTTCTTTCAAATTTTTAAATTCATTTTCAACTGTAGACCTGTATTGGTAAACTACCATGTAGGTAGTGAGAGCTACAATTGCCACCAGTATAATTTTGCTATTAATTTTGGCCATTCCGTTAATCAGACCTATTTGTCTTTCTCTGGGTCACGCTACACATAACCCCAAATGGTGTTAACTTAGACAAGAATCTAGTTAGCTCAGATACAGTCTACCAGTAATATGAACTAGTAATTTAAGCGCTGTAGGGAACATATGGTACTGGTGTTGAAGTAAACATATAGTACTGGTGTTGTAGTGAACATATGGTACTGGTGTTGTAGTAAACATATGGTACTGGTGTTGTAGTAAACATATGGTACTGGTGTTGTAAACAGAGCAAAAAGCCCCATGGTGCACTGGTGTTGCAGTAAACATATAATTGCTGGTGTTGCTGGTGAACATGGTACTGGTGTTGTATTAGGCATATGGTACTGGTGTTGTAGTAGACATATGGTACTACAATTTGTAGTGGACATATGGCATGTGTTGTAGTAGACATATGGTACTTATGTTGTTATTAAACATATGGTACTGGTGTTGCAGTAAACATATGGTACTGGTGTTATAATGTAAACATATGGTACTGGTGATGTAGTACAGACATATGGCACTTGTGTTTGTAGTGATCATATATGGTACAATTGTTAGCAATAAACATATGTACTGGTGTTGTAATAAACATATGGTACTGGTGTTGTAATGAAGCATGGTACTGGTATTACTGATAAAACCTTAATAATTTACTGGTGTTGTAGTAAACATATGGTACTGGTGATGTAGTGAACATATGGTAGTTGTGTTGTAGTGAACATATGGTACTGGTGTTGTAGTAAACATATGGTACTGGTGTTGTAGTGAACATATGGTACTGGTGTTGTAGTGAACATATGGCACTTGTGTTGTAGTGAACATATGGTACTTATGTTGTAGTAAATATATGGTACTCGTGTTGTAGTAAACATATGGTTCTGGTGTTGTAGTAAACATATGGTACTGGTGTTGTAGTAAACATATGGTACTGGTGTTGTAGTGAACATATGGTACTGGTGTTGTAGTGAACATATGGCACTTGTGTTGTAGTGAACATATGGTACTTATGTTGTAGTAAATATATGGTACTCGTGTTGTAGTAAAGATATGGTTCTGGTGTTGTAGTAAACATATGGTACTGGTGTTGTAGTAAACATATGGTACTGGTGTTGTAGTAAACATATGGTACTGGTGTTGTAGTAAACATATGGTACTGGTGTTGTAGTAAACTTATGTTACTGGTGATGTAATTAAACATATGTCAAGTCGAACAACATTGAGCGGTTTTTACATTACGTGCATAAATAACCGGCTGGTAAATGATTCCAATGACCCATGAATCAGTCCTAACTGGCGGTGCCATTATCTACATATTACTTATCTAACTATCTAACATATTTGAACCATTGCAAGTGTGAAGCAAAGTATCCAATTACCACATATGAGCAATCTATTAAGTATTTCAAGAATTACCTACTACCTGGAGAGAGAGTTGCATCATACTTCGGCAACTGGATAAGACTAAACATCTGCAGGATGTTTTAGTCCCCTGAGCAACCTTTACCCTCTTCAGGTCATTGAATAATTAATGTTCATAATTATACATCCATAGTTATAAGTTATTAATTACTTACTCTACATTAAACAGTATGTAAATTATACTGGTTACATGTGTGTGTGTGGGGGAGGGGGGGTGGGATGTGTAGATAGATAAATAGATAGAACGAAATACTACATATATATCTATATTTATATATAAAAGAGAAAAATATTAACCATTCTATCACATCGGGGGGTTACCGAATAACCATTGGAGGATTAAATCTTCAATGTAGCGTTTGGCCTCCTCTACCCGCTATATGTCTGTACTGGTGATACTGACATGGTTTTTATTGGTGTTGAGTCCCAGCAACACTCCGTATTTTTGGCCTATTTGTTTAATATGGGCGCCCTTGTGACCTATGAATGCTCCGTGAAATTTTTTGGGTATTTTAACGCTCTTCGTGATTTGATTTTGGCTGGACTGCTGTTTCGCGACGGCTGGTGATTCCCGTTCCGCTGTGGCTGGTGACCCAGGTTCCGCTGCGGCTGGTGACTCCGGTTCCGCTGTGGCTAGGGAGTAAGCGAGTGACCATTGGAGGATTAAGTCTTCAATGTAGCGTTTGGCCTCCTCTACCCGCTAGATGTCTGTACTGGTGATACTGATATTATTTTTATAGGTGTTGAGTTTCAGCAACACTCCGTATTTTTGGCCTATTTGTTTAATATGGGCGCCCTTGTGACCAATGAATGTGCCGTGAAATTTTTTGGGTATTTTAACGCTCCTCGTGATTTGATTTTGGCTGGACTGCTGTTTCGCTACGGCTGGTGATTCCGGTTCCACTGTGGTTGGTGATTCCAGTTCCGCTGCGGCTGGTGATTTCGGTTCCGCTTCGGCTGGTGAATCTGGTTCCGCTGCGGCTGGTGACTCCGGTTCCGCTGCGTTTGGTGACTCTGGTTCCGCTGCGGCTTGTGACCCTGGTTCCGCTTCGGCTGGTGACTACAGTTCCGCTACGGCTGGTGACTGCGGCTCCGCTTCGGCTGGTGACTCCGGTTCTGCATCGGTTGGTGATTCTGGTTCTGCATCGGTTGGTGACTCTGGTTCTGCTGCGGCTGGTGACTCTGGTTCTGTTGCAGCTGGTGACTCCGTTTCCGCTGTGACTGGTGATTCCGGCTCCGCTTCGGCTGGTGACTCCGATTCTGCATCGGTTGGTGACTCTGGTTCTGCTGTGGCTAGTGACTCTAATTCCCCTAGGGTCGACTCAGCCTAGCCTGGGTTGTGGTCGTCCTCTCTAAAGCGACGACGGATTTTACAACATAAATACACACAAGTACAACAAACAATAAACACTAACAGTACCGTTCCTATGATAAATGACCCAGAGGTAAAACGTGGGACGTCGCTCTCGGAGGCCTTCTTCAGCGCCTCCGTCACCCTCTTCATCTCAATTTTGATTTTTCTAGCAAGTAAAATGTCGCCCAAAAGAGGTACGTGGTCGCATAAACCTGGTTTGGGCTTTTATAGGGTTGGGAGCTCACCTATCCCAGGGCTAATAAGTTTTAGTCCCCTTAAAATTCTGTAGTAGAGGCTCACTCTTTATTTTTGTTGTTGAATTTTAATTTCGTCTAGCCGTTCTTTCAAATTTTTAAATTCATTTTCAACTGTAGACCTGTATTGGTAAACTACCATGTAGGTAGTCAGAGCTACAATTGCCACCAGTATATTTTTGCTATTAATTTTGGCCATTCCGTTAATCAGACCTATTTGTCTTTCTCTGGGTCACGCTACACATAACCCCAAATGGTGTTAACTTAGACAAGAATCTAGTTAGCTCAGATACAGTCTACCAGTAATATGAACTAGTAACTTAAGCGCTGTAGGGAACATATGGTACTGGTGTTGAAGTAAACATATAGTACTGGTGTTGTAGTGAACATATGGTACTGGTGTTGTAGTAAACATATGGTACTGGTGTTGCAGTAAACATATGGTACTGGTGTTGTAGTGAACATATGGTACTGGTGTTGTAGTAAACATATGGTACTGGTGTTGTAGTGAACATATGGTACTGGTGTTGTAGTGAACATATGGCACTTGTGTTGTAGTGAACATATGGTACTTATGTTGTAGTAAACATATGGTACTGGTGTTGCAGTAAACATATGGTACTGGTGTTGTAGTAAACATATGGTACTGGTGATGTAGTGAACATATGGCACTTGTGTTGTAGTGATCATATGGTACTGGTGTTGTAGTAAACATATGGTACTGGTGTTGTAATAAACATATGGTACTGGTGTTGTAGTAAACATATGGTACTGGTGTTGCAGTAAACATATGGTACTGGTGTTGTAGTAAACATATGGTACTGGTGATGTAGTGAACATATGGCAGTTGTGTTGTAGTGAACATATGGTACTGGTGTTGTAGTAAACATATGGTACTGGTGTTGTAGTGAACATATGGTACTGGTGTTGTAGTGAACATATGGCACTTGTGTTGTAGTGAACATATGGTACTTATGTTGTAGTAAATATATGGTACTCGTGTTGTAGTAAAGATATGGTTCTGGTGTTGTAGTAAACATATGGTACTGGTATTGTAGTAAACATATGGTACTGGTGTTGTAGTGAACATATGGTACTGGTGTTGTAGTGAACATATGGCACTTGTGTTGTAGTGAACATATGTTACTTATGTTGTAGTAAATATATGGTACTCGTGTTGTAGTAAAGATATGGTTCTGGTGTTGTAGTAAACATATGGTACTGGTGTTGTAGTAAACATATGGTACTGGTGTTGTAGTAAACTTATGTTACTGGTGATGTAATTAAACATATGTCAAGTCGAACAACATTGAGCGGTTTTTACATTACGTGCATAAATAGCCGGCTGGTAAATGATTCCAATGACCCATGAATCAGTCCTAACTGGCGGTGCCATTATCTACATATTACTTATCTAACTATCTAACATACTTGAACCATTGCAAGTGTGAAGCAAAGTATCCAATTACCACATATGAGCAATCTATTAAGTATTTCAAGAATTACCTACTACCTGGAGAGAGAGTTGCATCATACTTCGGCAACTGGATAAGACTAAACATCTGCAGGATGTTTTAGTCCCCTGAGCAACCTTTACCCTCTTCAGGTCATTGAATAATTAATGTTCATAATTATACATCCATAGTTATAAGTTATTAATTACTTACTCTACATTAAACAGTATGTAAATTATACTGGTTACATGTGTGTGTGTGTGGGGGGGTGGGATGTGTAGATAGATAAATAGATAGAACGAAATACTACATATATATCTATATTTATATATAAAAGAGAAAAATATTAACCATTCTATCACATCGGGGGGTTACCGAATAACCATTGGAGGATTAAATCTTCAATGTAGCGTTTGGCCTCCTCTACCCGCTATATGTCTGTACTGGTGATACTGACATGGTTTTTATTGGTGTTGAGTCCCAGCAACACTCCGTATTTTTGGCCTATTTGTTTAATATGGGCGCCCTTGTGACCTATGAATGCTCCGTGAAATTTTTTGGGTATTTTAACGCTCTTCGTAATTTGATTTTGGCTGGACTGCTGTTTCGCGACGGCTGGTGATTCCCGTTCCGCTGTGGCTGGTGACCCAGGTTCCGCTGCGGCTGGTGACTCCGGTTCCGCTGTGGCTAGGGAGTAAGCGAGTGACCATTGGAGGATTAAGTCTTCAATGTAGCGTTTGGCCTCCTCTACCCGCTATATGTCTGTACTGGTGATACTGATATTATTTTTATAGGTGTTGAGTTTCAGCAACACTCCGTATTTTTGGCCTATTTGTTTAATATGGGCGCCCTTGTGACCTATGAATGTGCCGTGAAATTTTTTGGGTATTTTAACGCTCCTCGTGATTTGATTTTGGCTGGACTGCTGTTTCGCTACGGCTGGTGATTCCGGTTCCACTGTGGTTGGTGATTCCAGTTCCGCTGCGGCTGGTGATTTCGGTTCCGCTTCGGCTGGTGAATCTGGTTCCGCTGCAGCTGGTGACTCCGGTTCACTTTGCGTTTGGTGACTCTGGTTCCGCTGCGGCTTGTGACCTGGTTCCGCTTCTATTTCGGTGACTCCAGTTCGCCTGACTGGTGACTGCGGCTCCTTCGGCTGGTGACTCCGGTTCTGCATCGGTTGGTGATTCTGGTTCTGCTTCGGTTGGTGACTCTGGTTCTGCTGCGGCTGGTGACTCTGGTTCTGTTGCAGCTGGTGACTCCGTTTCCGCTGTGACTGGTGATTCCGGCTCCGCTTCGGCTGGTGACTCCGATTCTGCATCGGTTGGTGACTCTGGTTCTGCTGTGGCTAGTGACTCTAATTCCCCTAGGGTCGACTCAGCCTAGCCTGGGTTGTGGTCGTCCTCTCTAAAGCGACGACGGATTTTACAACATAAATACACACAAGTACAACAAACAATAAACACTAACAGTACCGTTCCTATGATAAATGACCCAGAGGTAAAACGTGGGACGTCGCTCTCGGAGGCCTTCTTCAGCGCCTCCGTCCCCCTCTTCATCTCAATGTTGATTTTTCTAGCAAGTAAAATGTCGCCCAAGCACGTAGTCGCATAAACCCTGGTTTGGGCTTTATAGGGAATTGGGAGCTCTGCCTATCCCAGGGCCTAATAAGTTTTGAATCCCTTAAATTCATGTTGAGGCTCACTCTTGTTTTTGTTGTTGAATGTGTTTCGTCTAGCCGTTCTTTTGAAATTTTTAATTCATTTCAACTGTAGACCTGTATTGGTAAACTACCATGTAGGTAGTGAGAGCTACAATTGCCACCAGTATATTTTTGCTATTAATTTTGGCCATTCCGTTTATCAGACCTATTTGTCTTTCTCTGGGTCACGCTACACATAACCCCAAATGGTGTTAACTTAGACAAGAATCTAGTTAGCTCAGATACAGTCTACCAGTAATATGAACTAGTAATTTAAGCGCTGTAGGGAACATATGGTACTGGTGTTGAAGTAAACTTATAGTACTGGTGTTGTAGTGAACATATGGTACTGGTGTTGTAGTAAACATATGGTACTGGTGTTATGTCGCCGCATAATTGCAATTATTTGTAGTAAACATATAGTACTGGTGTTGCAGTAAACACTTATAATTACTAGTATAGTGAACATATAGTACTGGTGTTGTAGTAAACTATATATGGTACTGGTGTTGTAGTAGACATATGGTACACTGGTGTTGTAGTGAAGACATATGGCACTTGTGTTGTAGTGAACATAATTTTACTTATGTTGTAGTAAACTTATATAGTACTGAGTGTTGCAAGTAAACCTATGGTACTGGTGTAGTATGCTTATATGGTACACTGGTGATGTAGTACCTGCACTTGTGTTGTCAAGTGATCATATGGTACTGGTGTTGTAGTAAACATATGGTACTAGTGTTGTAACCAACATATGTATTTGCTGGTGTTGTAAAAGTAAACATATGGTACTGGTGTTGCAGTAAACATATGGTACTGGTGTTGTAGTAAACATATGGTACTGGTGATGTAGTGAACATATGGCAGTTGTGTTGTAGTGAACATATGGTACTGGTGTTTTAGTAAACATATGGTACTGGTGTTGTAGTGAACATATGGTACTGGTGTTGTAGTGAACATATGGCACTTGTGTTGTAGTGAACATATGGTACTTATGTTGTAGTAAATATATGGTACTCGTGTTGTAGTAAAGATATAGTTTCTGGTATTTGTAAAGCTTATATGGTACTGTAGTGTTGTAGTAAACATATAGTTACTGGTGTTGTAATGGAACGCATATGGTACTGGTGTTTGTAGTGAACATATGGCACTTGGCCTTTGTAAAATGAACATATGGTACTTATATTTGTAGTAAATATATAATTACTCGTGTTGTAAGTAAAGATATGGTTCTACGGGTGTTGTAGTAAACATATGGTACTGGTGTTGTAATAAACATAGTACTGGTGTTGTAAAAATAAACATATGGTACTGGTGTTGTAGTAAACTTATGTTACTGGTGATGTAATTAAACATATGTCAGTCGAACAACATTGAGCGGTTTTACATTACGTATAAATAACCGGCTGAGTAAATGATTCAATGACCCATGAATCAGTCTAACTGGCGGTGCCGTATCTACATAATACTTATCTAACTATCTAACATACTTGAACCATTGCAAGTGTGAAGCAAAGTATCCAATTACCACATATGAGCAATCTATTAAGTATTTCAAGAATTACCTACTACCTGGAGAGAGAGTTGCATCATACTTCGGCAACTGGGTAAGACTAAACATCTGCAGGATGTTTTAGTCCCCTGAGCAACCTTTACCCTCTTCAGGTCATTGAATAATTAATGTTCATAATTATACATCCATAGTTATAAGTTATTAATTACTTACTCTACATTAAACAGTAATATAAATTATACTGGTTACATGTGTGTGTGTGTGTGTGGGGGGGTGGGATGTGTAGATAGATAAATAGATAGAACGAAATACCATATATATCTGTATTTATATATAAAAGAAAAAATATTAACCATTCTATCATCGGGGGTTACCGAATAGCCATTGGAGATTAAATCTTCAATGTAGCGTTTTGGCCTCCTCTACCCGCTATATGTCTATTACTGGTGATATGCTGACATGGTTTTTATTAGTGTTGAGTCCCAGCAACCTCCCGTATTTTTAGCTATTTGTTTAATATGGGCGCCCTTGTGACCTATGAATGCTCCGTGAAATTTTTTGGGTATTTTAACGCTCTTCGTGATTTGATTTTGGCTGGACTGCTGTTTCGCGACGGCTGGTGATTCCCGTTCCACTGTGGCTGGTGACCCAGGTTCCGCTGCGGCTGGTGACTCCGGTTCCGTTGTGGCTAGGGAGTAAGCAAGTGACCATTGGAGGATTAAGTCTTCAATGTAGCGTTTGGCCTCCTCTACCCGCTATATGTCTGTACTGGTGATACTGATATTATTTTTATAGGTGTTGAGTTTCAGCAACACTCCGTATTTTTGGCCTATTTGTTTAATATGGGCGCCCTTGTGACCTATGAATGCTCCGTGAAATTTTTTGGGTATTTTAACGCTCTTCGTGATTTGATTTTGGCTGGACTGCTGTTTCGCGACGGCTGGTGATTCCCGTTCCGCTGTGGCTGGTGACCCAGGTTCCGGTGCGGCTGGTGACTCCGGTTCCGCTTCGGCTGGTGAATCTGGTTCGCACAGCTGGTGACTCCAGTTCCGCCGTTTGGTGACTCTGTTCGCTGCGGCTTGCGGCCTGGTTCCGCTTCGGCTGGTGACTCCAGTTCCGCTACGGCTGGTGACTGCGGCTCCGCTTCGGCTGGTGACTCCGGTTCTGCATCGGTTGGTGATTCTGGTTCTGCATCGGTTGGTGACTCTGGTTCTGCTGCAGCTGGTGACTCCGTTTCCGCTGTGACTGGTGATTCCGGCTCCGCTTCGGCTGGTGACTCCGATTCTGCATCGGTTGGTGACTCTGGTTCTGCTGTGGCAAGTGACTCTAATTCCCCTAGGGTCGACTCAGCCTAGCCTGGGTTGTGGTCGTCCTCTCTAAAGCGACGACGGATTTTACAACATAAATACACACAAGTACAACAAACAATAAACACTAACAGTACCGTTCCTATGATAAATGACCCAGAGGTAAAACGTGGGACGTCGCTCTCGGAGGCCTTCTTCAGCGCCTCCGTCACCCTCTTCATCTCAATTTTGATTTTTCTAGCAAGTAAAATGTCGCCCAAAAGAGGCACGTGGTCGCATAAACCTGGTTTGGGCTTTTATAGGGTTGGGAGCTCACCTATCCCAGGGCTAATAAGTTTTAGTCCCCTTAAAATTCTGTAGTAGAGGCTCACTCTTTATTTTTGTTGTTGAATTTTAATTTCGTCTAGCCGTTCTTTCAAATTTTTAAATTCATTTTCAACTGTAGACCTGTACTGGTAAACTACCATGTAGGTAGTGAGAGCTACAATTGCCACCAGTATATTTTTGCTATTAATTTTGGCCATTCCGTTTATCAGACCTATTTGTCTTTCTCTGGGTCACGCTACACATAACCCCAAATGGTGTTAACTTAGACAAGAATCTAGTTAGCTCAGATACAGTCTACCAGTAATATGAACTAGTAATTTAAGCGCTGTAGGGAACATATGGTACTGGTGTTGAAGTAAACATATAGTACTGGTGTTGTAGTGAACATATGGTACTGGTGTTGTAGTAAACATATGGTACTGGTGTTGTAATAAACATATGGTACTGGTGTTGTCGTAAACATATGGTACTGGTGTTGCAGTAAACATATGGTACTGGTGTTGTAGTGAACATATGGTACTGGTGTTGTAGTAAACATATGGTACTGGTGTTGTAGTGAACATATGGTACTGGTGTTGTAGTGAACATATGGCACTTGTGTTGTAGTGAACATATGGTACTTATGTTGTAGTAAACATATGGTACTGGTGTTGCAGTAAACATATGGTACTGGTGTTGTAGTAAACATATGGTACTGGTGATGTAGTGAACATATGGCACTTGTGTTGTAGTGATCATATGGTACTGGTGTTGTAGTAAACATATGGTACTGGTGTTGTAATAAACATATGGTACTGGTGTTGTAGTAAACATATGGTACTGGTGTTGTAGTAAACATATGGTACTGGTGTTGTAGTAAACATATGGTACTGGTGTTGTAGTGAACATATGGTACTGGTGTTGTAGTGAACATATGGT